GGTGAAGAATATACAAGATGCGACAACTATGATCACGCCGACCAATCGGGTATTAGATTTTGGGTACGCACATAATTCCTTTCTCGAATAAGCCATACACTTCATGATATTCATCACTCCGTTCCTGGTATTAAAGATTTTGCCGTAGTAATAATGCAGGTCTATTTCCAATTATACACTATATATTACTGTATGTACTGTACGTACTGTACGTACTGTACGTACTGTACGTACTGTACGCGAAAAAAATTGGGCCATCATATAAACGGCACATCACTAGTTGATACACGTAGGAAAATCATGTGACAGTGAAATCGATCCTACGCCCTGGCGTAGTCTGTTAGATTGCCATTTCTTAAAAGATTTATTTATCTATATTGATAATAATATTATTATATCATGCTATTATTTTTTTGTTAAGCATTATCTCTTCCAAAAGGCGAATTCCCTGAAAACAATCCATTAAGCGTTTTCTTTGGAAAAGGGATGGCATTGTCGAATGGAGACGTAACTATATTTTCATTAAATTTTGAATGATCTTGTTTTAAAATCATTTCTATCCATTTAATCTGTATCTTCATTTTAAAGCGCTGGTTACGACAACGAAAAATTGCAACTCCTGCATTTAATCGTGCACTTAGTCCTGAAATAGTTTACGAATGCGCTAATGACTTTATAGGTTTATTAAACAAATTGACGGATATTCCGATAGATGCGTTCTCATTAATGCAACGCGTCACTATTCAAGCTTTAGGAAAATTTGCTTTTGCATATGATATGAAAGTTAGTACCTATATAATTTATTTATAACTTATATAAAATTTATATATAGCTTATAAATTTTATATAAATTTTTAAAAATTCTATTTTTACCTAAGTTAAAGTCACAAACAAGCTATAATGATTAAAATTATAATAATATTAATATTTAAACTAGGCTAAAATAGAATTTCCCAAATTTTATTATATATTTTTTTTATTAACTAACTATAAAAAAAATATTTTTAAACAAAGGCATTAGAGAGCTTAGAGGAACATCCATATTTTTTGGAATCATATAGCAAAATTATGCACAATCTTTCAGATCCTCTTCCTGCACTATTTCCATTTTGGGCTTCACTTCCTCTTAAAAAAAATATTGAACAAGCTTTGTTAATTAAAGAGTTTGACAAATTTTTATTTAAAATGATTGATCAACGAAGGCTTGAAATGTCTAAAGCAAAAAATAAAGA